TATATATATATATATATTTTAATGAATAATCGTTCAAATAATGAATTGCTGAATAATTTTTTGACTTTTGCCCAGTAAACTTGGAAGTTAGATTATTATCCAGAACTACAATTAAAACAATAGTTGTTGTTGTATTCTATTGTTGTTGGTACTTACTACGCTATTAATTACAGACTGTATCCTCAGTTTATATCTTGCGATATCTTGACTTTCAATGTAAAAATATATGCTAAAAGTATTCTAATCTCTACCTGCCCTCCGTCCTCCATCAGGCAGAGGGACAGGGACAGGGTGTGCTCTGAAAACTCCAGCAGCCAATCGAGTAACAGCGTGTCCAGTGTGAAGGCGGCACCAGGGATGACCTCCAACCCGGTCTACAAGGTCACTCAAAGTCACGACAAGAAGGAGCCCAACAACAACTCCCACCTCAGCCCCGAGAGGAGAGGTGGAGACCGAGCCGGAGGACAAACCCCGACGCCTCAGACTCACGTCACACCAGGATCGCGAGTCTCTGCTAACGGTGGAGCCAATCACAGCCCGGCGATGGACCGGCCGCCGCCACCGTACGGTCAGACAATGGGCATTGAGTGGAACAAGCCCAACCCGGTGGACGTCATGCGGTCAAATATCAGCGGCACATCCTCCAAGTTCCAGGGGTTGGGGTTGTACGACCACAAACTGAGCATGTTCCACAGCTCCGGGCTCATCCCCGGCACCCCCAGCTCAAACCTGACCCCCAAGACCCAGACACCCTCCCCGGTCAATGACAGCAAACTCCCCTCCAAGCAGAGGACTCCAACCAACCAACTCTTCAACAAATTCACAGACCTCTTTCTGCCCCCCTCCAGCAAAGAAAAAGACACCTACAACTTCCGGAGGTCACCGTCCCCTCTCAGCACGTCCTGGGGAGGGCCGGACCTCTCTCAAAATGAGCCGGAGAGCCAGCAGAGCCCGCCGCCGCCGCTCTCTCCGGTCGCACTGATGAGCCGGCAGGACCAGAAACGAATGACGCTGGGCCACAGCAAGCTGGACCTTGTGAACCAGTACAACCAGATGAAATCCAAGCAGGTGTACAGCCGCTTTGAGCTCAAGACCAGCAACTGAACTGGCAGGATTTCATCAGACTACATTCATGTTCGAATGTTTGTTCTTCCTATCAGTCTTATTACATTTATTATAGTCCATGAAGAAGAGTCTCCATGGACTCTGGTTGTTTTTCTAAAGTGGTCAGTCCTTCGTCTTCTTCCACAGCGATGCCTGGTGGAAATCAGCCATTACAGCCATGTTGGCTCCGAGGCTCCTTCACCGAGATTTTCTCTGTGATTCTTGAAACCATATTGCCTCTTTTATCGTGTGAGGAGCCTTTACAAGTGCAGAAGAGTTGTGACTCTTTGTGCGGTCGTAGTTTACAGAACACATGAAAGAAATCAAACATTTACATTCATACAAGCATTGAAACTGATCTGTGAAAATCACCCGTCATCCATTTTTTTTAGCAAAAAAAACAGTCAAACTGTTTCCGCAAATAAAAATGAGGTTGTAGCTGAAAGTAGTAAAAAGTTTAACATAAACCAGTGGCATGTCCTAACAGGAGATTAATTTAAAATGATAAATGGCAGCTGAAATATTAAAGAGACAATTATGGCTTGCAATTAACATTTTTACTCCCACTGCTGTTTCTAAAGTACACTCATTTGAGCATTTTTCCCACACAATTTTATACTTTGAGACATTACATAACAGCTTATTTAACAATAAATGTAATGTCTGAACTGAAATTTTAATTCTCCTTTGAAAGACTATATTGGCTGTAATAATACTGCAGACCTTGTGCCGGAGAGGATTAAACTGTTTTTAGACATACTTGTGGGAGTGCCTTGGGTGGGCATTTTGCACTGACATGGACAGGCACCTTCAAAAAAAATACTCAGCAGGTGATTGGATGAACAATCTGTCTATCAAAGGCAAACTTCAACCAATCTGATCAATGAACCATATATCATAGTGAAACTCCTACGCTTACTTGCTTGCACTTATTTGCACCGCCATTGCGTTTTTTGAGCAAACAGTCACTTCGGACACATAAAGTGTTAAACCACGCCTGTATCTCATGCTGTAGCTGCCAGTAGTTCATATAAGACGCCGATTGGTTCGGAACCATTGTGGTTCGGACATCGGAACCTGGCAAGATGGATTCTTGCGTGATCTGAAGTCCAGCTGCCTCTTAAAGTTAGGACAGTCCTGCTAGGGGACGCAATACCGACCAGAGCGTGTCATACTTTATAGCCAATAAACGTTGATAAAAGATGTTTTTCCACTTTTTCAACAAGGGTTATCGTAGTGTTGGTTCTTTACGGACCCCACTCTGAACTTTCAACATTAAAAGCTAATCTGGTGGAAGAACATCGTCAGTGTTGTGTTCATCCCACTTTTATAGAAAGGGGTCAGCAAACTTTACTATCAAAAGAGCCAAAAATAATCTGTAAAACATATTTGAGCATCATAATGCTAATTACCCACCGCAGAGCAAGCAAGGAAATCTGTCCACGCACTATTAAACTCTCTATTTTCCTTCAAGACTTTTCTTCTTTGGATTTTGAATCCATAGCTAGCCTGGCTAGGGAAACGCAAGACTCGTAGCCACAGCTATTGAGGCTCTGGAGCCGTAGGTTGCCGGCCTCCTGGTGTAGCTGGTGGTTCTGGTTTTTCATTCATGGATCATGGCTGCAACCTGTCAAAGACGTTAAGACGACAACAAAATTATGTGTAATGTGTAAAAGATTTTGAACAATTTTGTCCAAATAAGAGACAGAGAAATAAGAGAGATCCTTTTTTCTTTCTTAAGTGTTTTACTGTAACACTCCTGTATTATAGTGTATATAACACGTGCCTTGATCATCCTGCCTTAAGGTTTACAATTACATTTTAGACAAACGTAATATCGGCAGTGACTTCAAATATGTGTTAATTAGGGTACAGACATGCCTGTTTGAAGCCACTGTCCTCACAGGGATTGAGGAGTTTGTTGTAAATAATAGGAGTGCGATAATATTCCTGGTGCTGTATCTCGTTACAATTCTGGGAAATTAGATTGTAAATGTAGAAACTGAAGTGCTTTGAGGTGATGCAGACGGAAAATATTGTCAGACGGATAAACAGCGTCTTCTCAGAACTGTTTTTTTTTGTTTGTTTGAACAGTGCTGTCACATCCTTAAAAATAGTTTCTGTATGACATTAAGTTCTTCATCACAGAGGATTGGTTCCTCATACTGTACATTGTATACAATAAACAGCATTTTTGTTTCAAATATGTAGATTTGTATATAGACTTATAATTAAAGTTTCATTGTATTATTTTCATGCTGTTTTCTTTTAGTTTTTGTGATGAACTGTGCTGATGTACATTCATTTTTCATCACAGCACTACAGGGCTTTCCACAGAATTCCTCCTCAGCATGGAGCAGCAGTGCAGCAGACATGGAAAACAGATTTTTTTGCTGTTGTCACCTAAGCAATAATGATCGAGAGCGATCAATAATTTTGATATGTGTGTTTTCATTTTGTGTGTGTTTTTGTTTACGGTTTATTTCAGTTTGTATTGTTGTTTTTTGTAATTAATACAGTCAGTCGGACAACGTGCAGGCATCGATATGTCTCATGTTAGTCTGACTAATGTATATTAAGTTGTGTATATAATACATAAACTGTCAGGAATTTGGGTGATTGTTAAATTGTTTTATTTTTACATTATGTTGTTTACTGGAGAATGTGAATTTTCTGTTTAAGTCTGCTTAATTTGTAAGATGAACATTTTAGGATTTAATAAAACAAAAATTGAAGTTGAGAGCTGTCACTTGTGTTGTCACTGCAAAGACTATTGTCTTCATCAGAAAATGAGACAGTTCTTCAAGCTGATCCTTTTTTAGTGTATGTGGCACTGAGGGGGTTTGTAAAGATTTAACAAAAAATAAGCTTAAAATCTTTTAATCATTTCTAGTTTATACTGTAACAATAAATATGAGAATGAGGTCACCATTTTTAGAATAAAAAATAATTCTCAAATCTTAATAATCAAACAACAACTGCAAATGGAAACTAAGCTTCAAATTCTGATTCAATAGAGCTTTTTGAATTCACAAAGCACCCACTGACAGAATTACTTGTCTTATTAGGTATTAATGAGTGATGCCAGGACCATGTAATGGTTTCTAGTAGCTCAGTGAAGCGAGGACGTTTTGCTCGCCGTGTTGAGACTTGTGCGTCAGGCACTTGTGCATCAGGGATCACTTTTCCCCACTGAGCCTCCGTGCTGTATGTTTTCCTGTCAGGAAGTGCAGCTGCAGGGGTTGGGTCACAGGACACAGCATGAACAATGTGACAGAATAAAAACTCCAAGGACAGAAATGTGAACAATGGAGCGACCAAGAAACTGTGCCCCAAAAGGCCCAAAACTGGACAGGACAATGGTGTCGCATCATTCATCCAAACAAATCCAGAGACAGAAAGGAAACAAAGACAGAATGAACGTTTTTGCACTGGTCCTGCCCTGGACCATCTCCAGCACCTTTATTTTTACTTGTATTAATACATATCAACACCGTAACCTTGTTAGAGAAACTATAAGAAGCACTGCTTTCCTTGTTCATATTACCAGCTTAACCTTATTTACCAGATTACTCTCTGTACGTAGAGTCCAAGGTTGCCAAAAAACAGTGCAACATCTCCTGTAAATGTCTATAGGGTATCCAAGATAGCCAGTGTGTGTTAACTCAGCTTCCAAACTCAAATGAATTTCCAAATGATAACCCAACCAATACTGCACTGGTCATGTTTTTAAAGTATGCCATTTCAGCATTGTTGCATGCATATTGTTAACCTCTACTAACAAGGGATATAAGTTGTATTTCATGTACAGTCTGAACGCACTAACCCCAGTGCAGACAAACCCTTCGAGTCCACACCAGTAGTTCAAAGTAGATTCTGACGATGGCAATGGCTGCCAGACACTGTGGCTGGTTGGCTAGCTCCTTCAACCTTCTCTGTTTCTGTTTTAGTCTGTTCTTGGCTTTATTGTGGACGTATTACCTAAGACAGAAATAGCCTACAGTCATTGGTAAAAAGAAGTGTGGGGTTTGGATTAAACAGCAGAATACTTTGAGATGATCCACCCTGCTAGATCAGTGAGACCAGAACCACCATGGAAGGAGCTGTCGCCACAAGAGGAGATAAGAAGATCCAGGATATGGAGCCATGCTGGTCCAGCTTAGACTTAAGGCTGCTCCTGGCAATTCTAGGCGACTGCATCTGTATGATTTCAACTCATATGTGGATATATATATTATAAGGATGGCAACCTTAAGTCACTTAAATTTTATTTCTATGATGCCAAATCCCAACAGAAGTTATCTTAGGACACAGATATAAACCATACCCCTTATTAAATGTATATGGATGGAATACAATTACAGATCTGATCTGATTTTGATATGGTGTCTTAATTTTGATATGGCACACTGATTAGCTAGAACATTTTTTAATGTCACTTTTATTAAAAAAGGTTGTTTCCATTGTGTCATGGTTTTCATGGATCTAGCTAATAATGTTCTTGCTAAGCAAAGAGGTTTGTTTAGCAGCTTACATCCTAAGTGGATTCTATAAGTCCACATAAAAACTGGCCCAGATCTCTCGGTGTGCAGGGGTCAGTGTGGTGATCTTATTTACTTCTGCCAAACATTACCCAGCTCACCTAGAAAGGAATCTCCCAAAACAATTACACCCTAAACCAAGGAGCTAAAGGTGAATAAATGGTTACTGGTTTGCCAGGCACACATGTTGTTTGACGTGTAGCCCGAGTTACGGGATGCCTGCTTGTTTTAGTAGGGTTGTCATGGTTACAGGATGTCTCCCGGTTGTTTATAAAGTAGAAGCGAACCAGGTTTTCTGTCTTTACAGCTGCAGCATTCCTCTTCACAGCCCAGACTTTGCTTTGTCAAAAACCTGGGTGTGACAGTCAGTAGATTTAACTCATACCTTTGCTCCGTAGCTTTAAATAGAATCTGTAGGTCCAACCACAATGCTGAGGGACTGATTGACTCTCCTCTGCTTTACCGAGATTATTAGCTTCTTTTCAGCTCATTGTTTCCAGCCATAGTTTTACCGTTCTGGTTCACTTTCAGCTCCATTTTCAGAGAAAAAGCTGGAAAAAATGCCACTGTACATTACCTCAGCAGCAACACAGGCAGAAAACGACAGACACAGTTGGAAAGCGAGCCTGGTCAACAATAGTTGGAGAGCACATATATGTCCTTCAGGAAATTGTAGAGACCAAAAAAAAAAAAAAAAAAAAAAAACCTAAAAGAGGTGAATATTGGACTTACATTGACTCCAAATGATTTATAATGTTACTCTGTAAGTGCTGGATGTAGAAACTATTTGCTGACAAGTTCAACATTACTGTGATATGAACATTACATAAGGTGATATGTCAATTTTGTGTTCCCACTTGTTTTGTCTGTCCCCAAAGTGGCTGTTAAACTGAATAGATCTTTTACAAAAAGTGATGTAGAAGAATAATGTATTTATTTATTTGTGCCATTTATACACCAGGTGGTGAAACAAACACTTACAAATCCATCAGTGAGCAGTCCAAATAAAGTCCAGTCCGACACATCAATCCAAAAACTGAGAAA